GATCCATTGCTTTGGATCTTCTCTAATGCTCATTCACTTGTTTGACGTACCTTTGGCGAAGATAAGTGATCACAAGCCCAACAATATCTCGTCGGTTTGAGTCCGGAAAGCAATTTCTTATTTTTGTTCTTCATAACGAAAAAATTTATACAACTTTTTCTGGGTGAATGATTTGGACTATTTTATTGTGTACATTTTTTGTTTTGGCCTCATGGGAAAATGTTTGAGAATTCCATCTTTTTTTTTTTTTTTTTAATAGACAAGAGTGTTCAAATTAATTTATGCACACCTCGACTTATCCTCTCTGATTCAGTTAAAAACATGCCATCAATGTTAGGACTACAGTAATTATAAAGAATAAAAACATGCCATCAATGTTAGGACTACAGTAATTATAAAGAATAAATCCCTCATAATATAGTTTCAAAGGATTGTTAAGATTCAAGCTTCTAAATTTACAACCCATCTTATCTCAATCAGCGCTTGAGCTACAGAATTGAGAATTCCATCTTGACTGCTGGTAAAGAGCATCTTTGCGAGTCGACTTTTCAAAACAGCCCAGATTCCTCGGATACCAACTGGATATTTTTCTTATTTGAAAAGGAAGTCTGCGATTGCAGATGTCCCAACGCATCTAGAATTCATCAATCTTTTGCATATAATGCCCAAGCTGTCTCTGCACATTACATGCACACATTGTCTCACACACACACACACAGATGAGTTCTGTAGCAGTATATGTGAAGTCCCACGCAGTTTGTCTACTTGTCCCAGTTCAAAGCCACGTGAAAGCGATGATGAAACTATCAAAGCTACTCCATCATAGAGGCTTCAACATAACCTTCATCATCACAGAATCCTACCACGAACGCCTGTTAAATTCGCTGGGTTTTAATTCTCTTGGTGGCTTGCCCGATTTCCAATTCAAAACCATTCCAGATTGTCTCCCTCCATCTGAACCCAACGCCAACCAAGACTTGTATTGGATTATACTAGTTGTGCGTGGTGATTTTTGCACAATTAATAAAAAGAAAGCTCTCTCCCTTTGTGAACTCGTATTTACCTCGAGTCGACGGTCCTGTGGCGAAGGGATGCCAAAGAGAGTCTATGGAGTGGTGATGAATTACATTTTCAGCAGTCCGATCGATTCCGGCGAGCCGAAGGTGCTTCCTGACACTCAAAAGAAGAATTAGAAGGGCACCAGAGTGTTTTTTGACTTATCCCCTCTGAAGGTCAGGTCAACTTGTGTGAGAAAGGGAATAGAAAAAGCAATGTTTTATGTTTTGGAGTGAGATTGCATACCTCTGTCCTTAGTTTTTTGTAACTATTTAAACCTTCATGGAGGTCATCATTACTGACAGGTGGGTCATGTCAAGAACAAGTTTCTCATTGGTCCATTTAGGAGGCAGTGGTTAATGTCCAGTCATTGGGCAGAGCACCTCCTGTTTTGCATGGGGGAAGCTCCGACATTAAATGCTCGGGCTCCCGAGCTTTTAATGCTCTTTCTTCTAAGCTTTCTGAGCATAATGGACATCCCATCCTTTTGAGGGATTATTAAATACTCTTCTGGGATTGCTGTGTGTCAGCAAGGACATTCTTGTTCATTGACACTCAATTCTGTACTTTGTGCCACGTGTTCAACACCCTTTGGCTGCTGGTCTTGTCCTTTCTGCCATTCTGACTTCTTTGGGAAAGTAAGTTAATAATGAATGGGCAGTTGTGATCTCAAGTGATGAAAGTCTTCAATTATCCTCCCATGTCTTGAGGTCCTGAATCCGGGGTGACGTCAAAGAGTAGGCCTTAGTGGATGACAAACTAAACCAAGGAAACGTGTCATAATATGGGAATAGAGATGCCCTCGGTGCCGAGGACACGTGGCAACACCATAATCTACTGATGTCCTCGGTGCCAAGGACACGTGTCAACACCACAAGCTTTTGATGTCCTCAGTGCCGAGGACACATGGCAACATCACAAGCTTCTGATGTCCTCGGTGTCGAGGACACATGACAACATCACAAGCTTTTGATATCCTAGGTGCCGAGGACATGTGGCAACACCTCAAGCTCCTGGTGATCTTAGTGCGGAGGACACGTGGCAGCATTCTAGTCGATGGTGACCTTGGTGTCGAGGACACATGTCAGCCTTCGGTGGACTCTCAAAAGTGTCTCATCAACTACCTCCAGCCCTTGATCTTCGTACAACATGGGTGACGTGGTGCAAGAAGATGAAAGGGCTCAACCACTCCTTAGCTGTGCAGCCGCTTTCTCGCCTTTGGAGGTCGTGCCCCATTAAACGCGCCCCCTTTTGTGTCTTATGTGCAATGATGGCAACAGGCTCTACATAAATGGAGCCCTTCCTTACCTTCTCTACTTTATAATCTTTAGCCAACTTGGACTTTTGCCAAAGTTCCATCGATTGCTCACCTGAACTCACTGCCATCCCCTTCAAGAATCATTGAAGAAGAAGGCCACCAACCATTGTTCCTGCGCTTTTCGATTTTGGTGAGTATACTCGTTCAATTTTCTATCTTTTAATTCTTCTTCCTCTCTCTTTTGTTTTTCTATAAACTCTTCGCCTTCCATCCTCCCTTATCTCAATTCTGATAGTATAGCACAGTTCCTCCGCCTCCTTTTTCGTCGTTTTGTTTTCTATAGTGTCCTTTAGGTTTCCTAACTTTAGAAAACGCCCCTCCAAAATCCCCTCTTTGAGATATGTTGAGGCGTCGTCGTACTGTTGCCAAGGCTGAAGAGGCTAGACCCTCTAGGCTGAGGAAATTTATGGTCAAGGGTCACCAACAAATCATCAACTTCAAAACCAACTACTCCATTCCTCGTAGAGTCGGCGTGGACGAGTTCGTCCCAGGACGTCATCGCACAGCCGTCGGCACCAAGGACGCCATGCCCTTCAATACCAAAGCTGTCATGGAGGGTGGAATCAGATTTCCCCTGCACCCACTCCTCCTCCGTTTTCTATCCTGATTCCGTCTCTTCAAGGAGCATTGTTGGCTCAACACATTTAGGATCATCATGGAAGTGGTGGTCCTAAACGAGTATCTCGGGGTCAACCTCAGCCTCGAGGACATCCTCTTCTACTACACCTTGTTGAGGGTGATGCCCCAGTAAAAATTCTACTTTAAAGCCCGAGATCCCTCCATGTACCTTATGACACACCTCTCGGACTTGGACAAGGCATACAAGGATGACCTGCTGGTCTTTAGTGACAATCAAAAGAGGGGGGTCGGCCCCGAGTACGACAGCTTGTGGTGTCCCAAGGAGTAGCGAACGACAAGAATGTTGACATCTCCCTCTCTTCTCAATTTTCTTTGCCTTGATAAATTTTGCTCAAGTTTTAATGTTCTTCTTCTTTTGTGCAAGAGTCTCCAATGTTAAAGCTGTTCCCCCGCCTCGGCATCTAGTTAGCTTTGACGACATCGTCATTGTCTGGGGGTACATCGGCAACGGGTTTGACTGATCTGCCCACGTGCTCCTAGACTATACCCTGGGGTGTAAGAAGGACTCGCAGACCCCCTAGGCATTTGATCCCTTAAGCTGGTCAGAGCTTTTTAGGGAAAACTTGAAGGAAGTCGCTGACAAGGCCAAAAAAGCCGAGGTAGAGGCAACTATCGAGAACGAGACTATCGAGGAAGATGTTGCAGATGAGGTGGTGGAAATTAGAGATTCTTCCATTAGCATCCAAGATGAAACAAGCACGTATGGCTAGATTTCAGCGTTCTTCAGAGTTTGGACGAAGAAAACACATTTGAAGTCGCAATGTCTGACCTTCCCTGCATCTCCCTAGACTTAATCAAACAAAGGGCAACCCTCGCTCCTAGAAGGGGCCGAGGGTCCAGCTCCAACGACCCTCCTCCACCACCAAGAAGGACCCCTCACCCCCTTTTTCTCCTCCCTCTTATTCCCCGGTGCCGTCGAGATCAACTGATCGCGGCCGAGGCCACCCTAGGGATTCTCAGACTGAGGAGGAGAGAAGGTCCAAGCAAAGGCAAGACGATGCCGACCATGGAAGGGGAACTCCCATCCCTCCTCCGAAATCAACGCCTCCAACAACAACAACAACAACAATAACACCACCACCACCAAATCCTCCGCCCACCATGGAGTGGCTACTTCGGGCCCTAGATTGTGACAACAGACTAATCTGGATCTCCGATTCTATCATCCACTCCCCTTAAGTTGCCTATGCCATGAGTGAGACATTATTGTTTTGCTCCAACATAAAGGAACATTGGGGGAGGACGACCAACCATCTTTTTCGCTCCATTATCCAGAGTTTGCTGGTGGTAAGGCTCTTAATTAGTTCCCTTTTTTCTTATTTCCCTTCTCTTTTTTTTATTGACGTAACCCCTCTTCTCTCTTTTTAATAGATTGCCCAGCAAGTCTCGGTCATTATTAAGTGCTTCCACTCGCAACGGGAGCAGCTCTAGGAATCTGAGAGGCTAAAAGCCGAAGCCCAAAGAGTTCTCACCACAACAAAGGAGGAGGTGGCAGCTAGGGCCAAGAATTTATCCTCCCAGGAAGCCTAAATTGTCGAGCTCCTCAAGGAGATCTAGGCGGCCAAGGGGAATGCTGATAAAATAAGTGCTGCCCTTGCCGACGCCAAGAAGAGAATAACGGAGTCAACCAAATAGCTCTTGGCATCCGACGCCAAGGTGACGAAGTCGGAGAAGACTTGTTCCGCTCTTACTCAGGAGCTAGATAAAAGTCAAGGCTGAGCTAGAGGCTAACAACAAGACTCAACAGGAGATTATGAACTAGTGTGCTGATGACATCCTAGTAGCCTTTAAGGAGCAGAAAAAAGAATACTTCAACCTAGGATGGGATGAAGCCCCAAGGTTGTTGGTGTCCCTGTTGAGTTCCCCTTGTTCCTGGAGCATGTATACGTCCCTTTAGAGGAGATGCTGCAAGCTTCAACAGATGTTGCAGCTCAAGATGCTGAGAATGCCCAAGTGTCAAGCTCGGCACCAACTACTGAAACTGTAGCCTCGGCCCCAGCAGACACTACTCCTGTCCATGCTCCTCCTCCTTGCTCTAGAACTGGAATTGATCTCTATGCCTGCGCCTACTCCGACACCTCAGCCTAACACTCCTACTATAGGCTCCCTCTATGCCAACATCGATGAGCTATTTGGAGATGTTGGTGGTAGCCTCGGCGACAAAGTGAACGAGCCTCCTCCTGGGCCATAGACTTGGGTTTTTCTTGTTCTTGTAATCTTTCTTTTCTATGCAATTTGTGTAGCCTAGGGGACACAAAGCCCTCTTTTTTGAATGAAGAATGACTTTGTTCCATTTGTATTGACTTTTTCCCTTTCGTTCTTGTTTACTTATTCTCTGACTTGCTTACTTGTAACTCCTAACTTCGAAACTTCCCAAGTGCTGAGCCTCGGGGCTGATGTATTCACTCCCGAAAAAAGATCGTTTCCCTCCTTGGGGGAAAGGGTCCTCCCTCCTTGGAGAATTCTTTGTTTTATGAAAGCTTACAGGTGTTATCTGTTGGGATTCATGTTCCCCTTGACCCCTCCTGGAGGTATGGGTTCTCAGACTCTGCCTTTTGGGGCCATACCCTCTCTAGGAGGCATGCTCCTATTTCCATTTGGAGAAAAGTTTTCTAGACTTTGCCTCCGGGCCTTGCCCTTTCTAGGAGACGTATTCCTGTTTCTTATTTGGAGGCAAGAGTCTCCGAGACTCTGCCTCTGCAGCAGCCATGCCCTTTCCAGGATGCGTGCTCCTATTTCGTATTTGGAGGCAAGTTTCTAAGACTACCCCCGGGACCATGCCCTTTCCAGGATGCGTGTTCTTGTTTCTTATTTGGAGGCAAGTCTCTAAGACTACCCCCGGGGCCATGCCCTTTCTAGGAGGCGTGCTCCTGTCTATTATTTGGAGGCAAGAGTCTCTAAGACCCTGCCTCCGCAGCCATGCCCCTTCCGAGACAGTATACTTAGCAGAAAAAGGAGCCTTTACTTCTAAAAAATAATACTTCTTCAAATTCATTACATTCTACGGTCGTATTACAACATTTTCTTCCATGTCTTCTAGTTTGTATGACTTAGAGCCTCTTATTGACGTGACTTTGTACGGGCCCTCCCAATTAGGTCTCATCTTTCCATCTAATAGATCCCGAGTGTTCCCACTACCTTTCCAAGCACCAAGTCAGCTACTTGGAATTCTCAGGGCTGGACCTTTTTGTTGTAGTCTTGACACTCCTTTTTGATATTTAGCCAATTTTAAGGTAGTCACTTCTCTTCTTTTCTCTATGAGATCCATGTCTAAACTGAGTTGGTGATCATTGTCCTCGATGTCAAAAGCTTGTGTTCTTATGGTAGGGAGGCCTACTTCCAATGGGATAACTGCCTCCACTCCATATGCGAGGGCGTAGGGCGTTTCCCCTGTCGAGGTTCAAAGAGTGGTCCTTTTCGCCCGGAGGACATTTAGGAGCTCATCCATCCACTTTCCCTTAGCCTTTTCTAACCTCTTCTTGATCCCGTTGATGATGATTTTGTTTAAAGACTCGATCTGTTCGTTGGCTTGCGAATATGCAGGGGTGGAGTAGTAGTTTCGGATTCCAATATGCTCACAATAGGAATTGAAGAGCCCGCTATTGAACTGTGCCCTATTATCTGATACAAGCGCATGGGGAACCCTGAACCCCGAACCTCGTCACTATGTTCCTCTATACAAACTTTTTAGTGTCTGTATCTTTTATGTGAGTAAGCAGTTCCGCCTCGACCCACTTCGTGAAGTAATCAGTTCCGATTATCAGGAATCTCTTGTCCCCTAGGGCCCTTGGAAGTGGTCCAACTAGGTCGAGTCCCCACTGAGCAAACGGCCAAGGAATGGTCAGTGGGTGCAAATCCCCAGCCAACTACTTGATGATTAGAGCGAACCTATGGCATTGATAGCATTTTTGGACATAGGTTTGCGCGTCCCTTTGCATTCGCGACCACTAATACCCCTGGGATATGATGTGATGATCCATGGATCATCCATCTGAGTACCCCCCACATATGCCTCTATGCACCTCTTACAAGAATGGTTCAACTTTATCCTTGCAAATGCAAAGCAGGAATGGCCCGAAGAACGACTTTCAGTACACCTTTTGATCTAGGGAGGCCCAGAACCTTGGAGCTCTTAACTTCATCTTTCTTGCTTTTTTGACATTCAGGGAGTTCTCTAGAGTTGGGAAGGTACTCCATTGTGATCCTTTGTGTCATGTTAGAATCTAATGCCGAGGCCAGACATGCCAAGGAGTCGACATGGGCGTTCTTGTCTCGGGGAACTTGCTTGACTTTGACTTTCTTAAACTTGTGAAGTAAGGCCATTGCTTTATGGTGGTAATCTTTCATTCTAGAGTGTCTTGCTTCAAACTCCCCGTTAATCTGGTTGATCACCAACGAAGAATCGTAGTAGACAGTCAGCTTTATGGCTCTCGCTGCATTGGCAAGTTTAAGCCAAAAATAAGGGCCTCGTACTCCGCTTCATTGTTGGATGCTTTGAAGCCTAGTCGAACGGCTTGCTCTGTGACCGCTCCCTCCTGGGAGACTAATACTATCCCAATTCCAGAACCCTTACTGTTGGAGGATCCGTCCACGTATAGACTCCAAGAGCATTCTTGGCTGTCTGTTGAGGGCTCCACCTCAGGGAGAGACGACTCCCCTTTGACAAACTTTACTATAAAGTCCGCCAGCACTTTCCCCTTTATAGCAGTGCAAGGCTTGTAATGAATATCATGTTCCCCTATCTTCATCGCCCACTTGGCTATCCTTCCCAAGAGGTCCACCTTCCTTAGAATTGTTTTTAAGGGTTGATCTGTTAGGACAGTGATCGGGTGTGCTTGAAAGTAATGTCTCAACTTCCTTGTGGCTGTGACCAGGGCCAATGCTACCTTCTCCAAGGGCAAGTATCTTGTTTCCGCATCCAATAGAGCCTTGCTCATGTAGTACACTAGCTTTTGTTCGCGCTTATGCTTGTGGACCAATACACCATTGATAGTGAATTCTAAAATGACCAAGTAAAGGAACAACATCTCCCCCCTTTTTGGGACGGATAGGGTTGGGAGGATCCTAAGGTACTCCTTGATCCCTTCGAGTGCGTTCTCACATTCTTGATTCTAAGCATCATCCCAGACCTTCTGATATCCCCAAAGAAGGGCTTGCATTTGTCTGATGACCAAGAGATGAAAGAATTTAGTACAGCCAACATTCTAGTGAGTCTTTGGACTTCTCAAATTGTCCAAGGGCTTCGTACGTCCATGATTACTTGTATCTGCTCTAGGTTGGCTTTGACACCACGCCGACTTACTAAGTATCCAAGGAACTTCCCGGAACCAACTCCAAAGGCACACTTTGCCGCATTCAGTTTTTGTTCGTACTTCCAGAGAGTGAAGAATGTGTCTTTCAGGTCCGCAATGTGATCGCTCCTTCTCCTGCTCTTGACCAGTATGTCATCAATATACACCTCCATGGTGTTATTACCTATTTGTTGTTTGAACATTTGGTTTATGAGTCTTTGGCGTATAGCTCCTTCATTCTATAGACTGAACGACACGACCATGTAACAATAAACCCCCTTAGAGTGATGAAGGCGGTCTTCTTCTGGTCAAGCGGATGGAGGGCAATCTGATGGTAGCCAAACTTGGCATCCAGGAAGCTTATGCGCTCATGCCCTTCTATGACATCCACCAACTGGTCCACCTTAAGTCATCGTTAGGGCAAGCCTTGTTCAGTTCAGTGAAGTTTATGCAAACATGTCATTTCTCGTTCTTTTTCTTTGCACAAATCGTATTTAATATCCATTCTAAGAACTACACCTCCCAAATGGCATTGGTCTCCGAGTGCTTCTCTGCTTCTTCATTTACCACCTAGGCATGATGTGGCGCCGTGCGCCTAGATTTTTGCTTCATTGGCTTGTGAGCAGGATCAACATGAAGTCTATGGGTTATGACGTTGGGACTTATGCCCTTCATCTCCATGGAATCCCATGCAAACACATCTACATTTTTTCTTAAAAAACTAGCTATCTCTTTCTGCTCGATTGGGGGTATGGGGGAGCTGACCAGGAAGTACCTTTCTTCCTCTCCTTCCACCAGAAGTAACTTCCAGAGATCCTCCATCGAGTGGTGTGCTGGATCAATCTGTGGCTCATCGACACCCAGTCGCCCAGATTGTAATTGCTATTTATTCAGCACCTCCTCTAGGGCACGCTTCTTCTCCTTGGAGGTAACCCCCGCCTTCACCGCTGCGTAGAAACAACTTTTTACGAATGCTTGGTCCTCGCATATTTCCATTACTCTTTATGGGGTAGGGAATTTTAACTTTTGATGATAAGTGGAGTGAACTGCCACAAGTGCTTGTAACCAGGTTCACCCCATGATTATATATTGTAGGGCGAGTCAAAATCGATTACCATGAACTCCGTGTCAGTTATAACGGGTCCTGTGGTAATTTGACAACGTGATCTTACCCAAGGGTAAGGCAAACGAGCCGTTGAGCCCAACGAGGAGCATCCTGACTTTGGTGAGATCTTTGGAACTAAGGCCCATGTGTTTCAAGACTTCGAGGTACATCACCTCTAAGGAGCTCTCAGAGTCCACCAGGACTTTCTTGATATCAAAACCACTAATCTTTAACCATCGATCTTTAATGTTAGGAGGACCACGCCTGCTAGGTCGGCATGAGAAAAAGTGATACCTTCCTGGTCTGTCCGGGGCCTCTTGCTGGGCCGACCCCTATCTCTTTCATCCACATTCCATACAAAGGCTACCCTCTTAAGGTCGGACCCAAGGGGATTGGTCGTCAGTCGTTCCGGTGGGCAGATGTGGATGACGTCAATGACATTGTCACGGACTGTGAGATCCCGTATTTCATATAAATATAAAAGATATTTAACTTGATAGTATTTTTAAAATGATTAAAATAATGAACGAAATTTCTAATCGTTGTTAATTGAATAGTCACATAAGTTTGAGCTACATGCGTATTGACTTTTGAGTCAAATTTAATTTTTGAGTTGTTTAAGGTTGATAAGGGTAACTAGGTAAATATATTAATTTTTTTAATCAAAATAACATTACAATTGAATTCGGGAGGTCCGAACACCTTGGAATAGACATTTAGTGCATATAACGGTTCAGAGGGGTAAAATGGTAACTTTAGTGTTTCAGGTGTAAATTGACTTTGATTTTGAGATAA